ACTCATGGCAGAAAATCAACATGTCATTTGCAGTTCTATTTGGGAGGTTGGGGTGGAGAGACGACAGTTTTGTAAAGTGATTTACACAGCATTGTAACTAACAAACAAAAAAAATAAGTCCCCAGGCCTATGACAGAGTTGCAAAAGAAACAATGGACAAAGGGGACTTCCAAGGCTTCAGCCTTGCTGGCCACGCCCTGTGGGAATGCGCCAGTACCTTTCCATCTCTGATCAGAGAACTTCTGCACAAAACTTTATCCCCACTGATACAGGGGTTCCACTCTAGATGAATGCGACAACTTTAGAAATGAAAAGAGGAAAATTCGAGGGCTGATTTCCTAGGACAAAAGTCCAAGACAGGTTTGACATTCATGGTCCTAAGCAAACATTTCAGAAAGGCATCTCTTAAGCTTTTGTAAACTGCTGAAACAGATCTCCAGAAAAGAAACCCCTAAATCAACTACACTTTAGTAAATTAATAACAACAACAACAACAACCAGAAGAGGGATATCCCTGCAATTCTTGGGTGGTATATGGGCCTGAAGGCCTGAGATGCCTTCCACTTGAAGCTCCTTGGAGACTAACAGAAACAGCAGAATGTCAGGGCTGAACTCTGTGCTCTGGCTTTGTCACTATTATGCAGATGCTGGTATGTTTCTAGTTCTGGTTTTAAGTTTGCATATTTTAATTAAAGTATCATTTTAATTGGGCTTCCCAGGTGGTGCTAGTGGTAAAGAATCCATCTGCCAGTGCAGAGACAGGGGTTCAGTCCCTGGGTCAGGAAGATCCCCTGGAGGAGGGCATGGCAACCCATTGCAGTATTCTTGCCTGGAGAATCCCATGGACAGAGGAGCCTGGCAGTCCACACGGTCGCAATGAATCAGATATGAATGAAGTGATTTAGCATGCACTCACTCATTTTAATTATCAAATAGCTTTTTTTTGAGATTTTTCTCTTATTTTTTAGTACTAGTTTTATTGAGGAATAATTTGCATATGATCAAATTTACCTGTTTTAAGTGTTTGATTACTTTTGACGACTCTCATATTTCTGAGTATGTCTTACATCCTCCCAAATTATCCTTACACACCATTGCAGTCAATTCCCCATCCCTACTGGTAACTACTGATCTGTTTTCTTTTATTGTAGTTTTACTTTTTCTAGAATTCCATATAGATGGAATCATATAGAACCTGGTCTTTTGTGCCTGGCTTCTTTCACTTAGAACAATGCTTTGAAATTTATTCATGTTCCTAAGTATCAGTAGATCATCCCGTTTTATTGCTGAGTAGTATCAAGATTATTTTTTTACATTTTTGTGTAAAAATATACACAACATAAAATTTCCTTTCTGTTTATTGTCTGAAGTTGAGAAAATATTCATTTGGGTCACATGGAAAAGCAAATAGATTTTTGTTACTTTTTTGAAAAACACATGCTAATTGAAGTTAATCATAAGGATATATATTCAAATGCAAAATTTTTGAAACATTAGCCAGGTGAATCTGAATGTGAAGGAGATTTCCAGATAATGCAGCAAAAATACAAATTAATTAACAACTTCCAAGTAAGTGTAATCAGAACATGAACCTGGATTACACCAAGCATTTCACAGAAGTTTAAAATTATGATGGAAGAATCAATTAGTAGAAGGATTAAAGCAAAAAACAAACAAAAGAAACCCTCCTACCTTTCTCATATATTTTTTAAGATTTTTTTTTTTTTAATGTGGACCATTTTTAAAGTCTTTATTGAATTTGTTACAACACTGCTTTTGTTTTATGTTTTGTTGGCCTCAAGTCATGTGGGATTTTAGCTGCCTAAGCCAGGATCCAACCCACACCCCCTGCGCTGGAAGAAGAATTCAACCACTGGACCGCCATGGTGTGTGTGCTTAGTCACTCAGTCATGTCTGACTCTGTGCGACCTCCTGGACTGTAGACTGTAGGCAAGTCTGGAGTGGGTTGACATGCCCTTCACCAGGGGATCTTCCCGACCCAGGGATTGAACCCAGGTCTCCCACATTGCAGGCAGATTCTTTACTGTCTGAACCAGCAGGGGAGCCCAGAACACCAGGGACGTCTCCTCATGTGTTATTTGTGACTAATTGTAACAAGGAAAAACTGATAGTGCCTAGTGACAATAATAGCAACAATAATTATTATTATTATCATGGCTTACTTGTGTAGTGCATATTATGTGCCTGGTACTGCACTAAGCACTGTATAGATGATTGTGATCCCTCACTCCAGTCTTGTCCGACTCTTTGAGACCCTATGGACTGTAGCCCACCAGGCTCCTCTGTCCATGGGATTCTCCAGGCAAGAATATTGGAGTGGGTTGCCATTTCCTTCTCCAGGGGATCTTCCCCAACCAGAGATCAAAACTACCCACACTTCTACTATATCTCCTGCATTGGCAGGTGGATTGTTTACCACTAGAGTCACCTGGAAAGCCCATATCTGTGATTAACTCAATTTTCCCAACAAACTTACTAGGTAAGTATTCTATTATTATTGCCATTTTACAAAAGTGAAAAAATGGAGACTTAGAGAAAACTAAGTAACCTGCCTAGATGAAGCAGCCAAGATTTGGCCCTGGGAATCTACTGGCTCCAGAGCCTTGACATTTGACCTCTAGCACACTCTGAACTGCAACAATGTATTACAGAAATATTCAAATTGGCAAAGGGAGTTGGTATGGTCCCTGAGCAAGATATGAATGAAATAAAGCCAGAGCAGACTGATGTTTAGATGTATGAGGAGACCCAGAATAAGGCAAAGAGAAGAGGGAGGAACTGAGAAACAGTGCAGTATTCTGTTCACATCCAAGAGGCTACTATTGGCCTGGTACCCCGGAGCCTGCTGCCTGTTTTCTACCCCAGGTCCAGGTGACCCCTGGGGTCCTTTCAGAGCTAACATGTGAGGAAAATCAGAAGTATTTGTTCAGAGTTCATTGTGATTTGGCTTTATTGATGTGGGCCAAGAGTCCACAGTCTGGTTGGCTTATAATGGAGACGTTGATAAATCACCATGGCCTGCACATTGAATTCATTCAGTATTGTGAACTTGTCTTTTTTTATGATGCTTTTTAATCTGGTCTAACAAAGGATTGTGGACTTGGAACTAGATTGCCTGACTTTGAATCTTGGTTTTGCCATTTATAAGCAATGGGACTTTGGACATGTTACTTGATCTTTCCATGCCTCTGTTTTCTCATCTGTGAAAGGGGAAATTAGTAATCCATCTGTTTTGTAGCATTGTTTTGAAGACTGAAGGGTTATGTATAAAGCATTTACATCGGTGATGACACACAGGTACTGTATTTTTGTTAGCTATTATTATTACTATCTAAAAATTATGGTAGGTGGAAATATCTTCTCCTGAGATATTATGAACTTCTGAGATATAATAAACTATAGTAATCTGTACTAAAATGAAATTACCTTCAGGAGTTTATTTTGCAGGGCTCTGCTCCTTGTTCTTGCAGAGCATTACCTATCACTGATGAATAGATGCACAGGGAATAGACAACTCAGGGACATGATTTCAGCTGCTACAACGTACCAAAAACTAGAAGGCAAAATTCTAGATACCTGATCTCTGTGACCTGAAACTTTAACAGTGATCAGATACAATGAGTTTGTCCAGAGAAGAATCTTTACAATATTTCTTTGAATCCTGGACAGAGTAAAAGAAAATCAAGCTTGGGATAAGAAAATTGGAGCTTCATTTCTAGTCCTCATTTTTTGTTGCTAGAGATTTTAGAGCAGGTGCAGTAATCTACCTCGCTCCTATGGTTCCTTGGTGCTGTATTCAGAACCCAGGTATCCATGAACACCTGGTTCATACTCCATGGTCTGTACAAAGTCATCCCTAGCTGTCCAGGCAGCCCACTCTGGTCTTGATTACCATAAACTGAAAATCCTCACACCCTTTGATACACTCTTGCCTTATTAGTTGCCTTAAGTTGTTAATCATTTATCGAACTATCTATGTTGTTAATCATCTATGGAACTATCTATCTACCTCTGACAATTTAAAAATCTCTAGTAGGAACCAACGCCTTCTCCTTGACAGCCAACTCCTTGATTATGGACCTCAGCCTCCCTGGGGAAAGTGACAATGTAAGATATACCACTTGCTGTTTCTAGACACCACTCACTCACCTAGGACATTGAACTTGGGTGATACTCAAAGTTGGACTCAACAAACATTTTCTAAAGGGCTTATTGAGAGTGGCACAAGAAATATGTTGTATGATGTAAAAGGCATATGAAATCTGGATCCTCTTATTCAATCCAACAGAACATCTACTGAGTACCAACTATGTGCTAGATACTATACCAGTTGTTATGGATACAAAGCAGTACTTAGCCTTCATAAGGGTGGCCCACCAGTCAACAGATGACTTAGAGGTCAGGATATTCTGGGGACCCAGGAGAGGAACCCTGGTCCAGCCAGGTGATGGTGAGGGAAGGAATGAGGTGTCAGCAGAGTGGGTAGGCTGGGGTGGGGTTACTGTATTTCAGAGAGAGATTGAGCCTAGGCCAGAGGGTGAGGGGACCGTGTTGTGACTGTTGGACTGGCCTGTTTTCCTTGTTGACTTTTAGGCCAGAGCTGATCAGAGCTGCTGACTTATTTGAGTTTGCAGCACAGAAGACTGGGCCTCCCAGTTGGAGGAGGGGGCGGGCTGCTAGCTACCTGCCCGTGCTGCTCTGGACCACCCTGGGAGAGAAGGAGGGCTCTGGGGGACCTGGCACATTCCTCCCGCGAGAGCCCTGGCCGCAGCCTCTGCACCACGCCCTCGGCCTAGGCCAGGTGTGCGCCCTCCTTGCGGCGAGGGGGGGCCCGGCAGCCGGGGTGAGCGCTTTTACAGCTCCGAGTGTGCCGAGTGTTTGTCTGCCTCCCGAGGGCTGGGTCCTCCTTATTCACAGGTGAGTCACACCCTGAAACACAGGCTCTCTTCCTGTCAGGACTGAGTCAGGTAGAAGAGTCGATAAAACCACCTGATCGAGGAAAAGGAAGGCACAGCGGAGCGCAGAGTGAAAAGCTCCCAGCGGCGAGGCGCCGGGCAGCTCCCCTGCAGCGGCGGACGGCGCGGCCCGGCCTGGCCATGCCTGCGCTCTGGCTCAGCGGCTGCCTCTGCCTCTTGCTCCTCCTGCCTGCAGCCCGGGCCAACTCCAGGACGCCAGGTGAGTCCCTTCCCGGGGCCGGGAACTGGCCTTGCCCTGCAGACCGTGATGGCTGCGCGCACCTCCGAGGCGCCCCGCTTTGCAAGAACCTTCTCAGAGCGTCCTCCTCCTCCGCCCTGTGGGGCTCCTCCAGAGGATGGTTCACAATAGTATTATATGTAACGCTGTCTGATTTTAAAATGTGAAGCCAATGGATTGTGCCAAACCAGGGTTTTCTTCCCTTCAAAAACGTGCCTTCTTGAGTGTTTATATATTTATTTATTTTGATCAAGGGGCTCTGGTTTAATCAGTAACACGTGGGTATATAAAGTCTTTTCCCACAGTGTGTTTTTTTTTCCCCATAGTGTGTTTTTATTGATGGAATTTTGGTGGGAATATTTTCTGTGACCTTGAACCCCATGAAGGTTGAAAAGGCACCTCATCCCTCTGGAATTCCCGTTTCTTTGGGATGGAAAATGAGCCTTAAGAGTCTAACAATGCTTTTCCTTTTGCATAGTGTTACTTTTTATAGTATTTTCACATAATATTTATTCAACAGGCATTTATTGGGCACCTATGTCATAGACCATTTGATCTTATCTAGGGCACCCAGTGGCTGTCACGTCGTGAGTTCAACTCCTATAAACAAAACTTCCTGGGCACCTAGCAACGGTATACTGTATGCATGCATCAGCCGTGACAACACATAACGGGTGTTTTTTTTAAGTTTTAGTTGGTAGTCACTGAATTTTACCAATGATACTTGCCTAATTACCTCAAATTTTGGGGTTTATTTTTGCTTCTTGTATCTGATGGCACTTTGAGAATTATCTCAATACATCCAATATCCATTTTCACACGTGTGAACATGTGTGAACATGAGATCAAGTTCATGGGTACATGGAAGTATCTTAGATACTCCATGTATTACTTCACAGTCTGGGTGATGCTAACCTGAATTGTACTTGAACGGCACAAATGTTTTAGCATGTATTTGAATGCATTTGATTCAGTCTTTTTTGTCTAAGATAATCTTAAAATTAACTTCCAGGTCATCATCCGTGATTACCATTTAAAAATCACTTATGAAAATGACCATGTAGGCTAGATTCCCTTAGAATAAATAGCTTTCACCTAATGAGAAATATCCTAAAAGTAAGAATAGTCTCTGAGTATCAGAATTCAGAGAGACTGCTTATGGATCAACTCTTAGGATCCCCTGACTTAATAAATGAAAATATGGAAATGGATTTGTGCAACGCTACAGAAGCAGCTACTGGCAGAGACACATCTGAAATTTGATCTGGGGGTTCTTAGACTGGAGCTTCAGGGACCATTATAAAAGTAATAAGGGAACAGGTACATATGTTTTACATAGTTAGTAATTGTTGATGCAGTTTCCCTTTTGGCTATAGATGAGTGTATGTGTGTGTGTGTTAGCATTAGATAAAAGGAACAAATATGTAGGGAGATATCAGTTGTTATGTGCTCCTCCTGTAGCTCAGAGGTAAAGAATCCACCTGCAATTCAGGAGCCATAAGTTCTATCCCTGGTCTGGGAAGATCACCTGGAGAAGGAAATGGTAACCCATTCCAGTATTCTTTCCTGGGACATCCCATGGACAGAGGAGCCTGCCCGGCTATGGGTCTGAAAAGAGTTGGACATGACTTAGTGACTGACCAACAACAACATCAGTTGTTTAATGAAATTAGAGTCAGGAGGACAGAGTTTAGACTCTAACTCCTCAAGGATGGAGAAGCTCAGAGTGTCCAGTAGGTCAGAAGGACTTAATGAATTGTTAAGTCAGAAGCAGTGTTTAGGCTTATTTCCAGACTTTCCCCTTTTTAAAAGATAGGCCAAATAAAAATGTTAGGCTGCCTCCTGAAAGGGCTTCATTTGGGGTTCAATGAGAGTGTGAAAAGTTTGCGTTAGGCTAGAGCACGCGGTGGTTCAGATGGTAAAGCGTCTGCCTACAATGTGGGAGACCCGGGTTCAATCCCTGGGTCGGGAAGATCTCCTGGAGAAGAAAATGGCAACCCACTCCAGTATTCTTGCCTGGAAAATCCTATGGATAGAGGAACCTGGTAGGCTACAGACCATGGGGTCACAAAGAGTCAGACACGACTGAGCGATTTCACTTTCACTTTCAGAGCACGCATGCTTTTCCATTTATGGGATGCTGGGATCTTGTGGGAGCTGGACTGAAAGTATGGTGCTTGCCATCTCCCAAAGTGACCTGCCTCTGTGCACCTCTGAGAGCCTAAAGCAAGAACATTGCTTCCTGGGTGCTACCTTGCAGGTGAAATGATAGTGTTAGATATAATCAAAGTTGGTTTCAGTTAAAGCACATGTTTTAGAGTCCGGCTGACCTGACTTCAAATTTTTGACTGCTTTGTTTACTAGTTCCTTATCAGTAACCATTCAGACACCTCAGCCGCCTGGGTCGGTTCTTTGCCTGTTAACTGGAGGCAACAGTGCTGTGTAACCTTGCAGGGCTGTTGAAAGGAAGAGATGTTATTGTGAAGAACCTCAAAATGCCTAGAACTACATTTTTTAAAGATGTCTGATGCCAACAGTGCAAGTGTAGTGAACTTGGATGCTTACGGATCATTAAGAAAGATAAAGATTCCCCCCAGGAGCTCACAGTTGGTGTGAATGTGGCTGTAGCTCCAGTGGTCTGCATCATAGTTCCCTTGAGGAGGCGTGACTGGAGAAGGGAGGCAGGAATGCCACTAGAAATGTAGCCAAGAATCTGGTGGTGAAGAGCCTCACGTGCCAGGATCAGGATATGCAGTTAGGTTAGTGCCCTGTGGCAAAGAAGGGTTGCAGAAGGTGTTTTTTTTTTTTTTTCCCCAGAGAAGGAAGGATTTATAATTTGCAGCAAGTAAGGAACACTTGATTTTCCAAAGCACGGTCACCAGGTTGCAGGTGGTTTTTAAGAAGAGTGGACGTGGGAAAGGTCACTCATTTAAGTGCTTAAAGGATGGAATTGAGCTAGGAGAGGCAAACAAATGGCCATTGAAATAATGCAAATGAGACTTGATGAGGGTTTTCTTCATGGTCATGGAACAGCAAAGAGGAAACAGATCACAGGGACATTTAGAGGTGAAATTGGAAGAATCTGGTGATCCAGTGGGTGTGTGCATTAGGGATAATAGTAAGGGGAAACTGTGAGAAATAAGAAAGAGTCCAAGATGGGTCCAAGGCTTCAATTTCATGTAACTGGTTAGGCAGTGATGCCATTAAATGAAATGAGGACTTTAACAAAAGGGTCAGATTTGAGAGCAAGGTTGGCAGTAGATGAAGAGAAGGAGGTGAGCTTCCATGGGATATATTGAGTTTGAGTTGCAAGTGGACATGTCCGGTGAACAGCTGGAACTATAATTTTGAAATTTAGAAGAAATTAAAACAATATAAAGTTGGGAGTCCAACAAAGCCTTGAAAATAGATGAGACTACCTGGGTTCAGTTCAGTCGCTCAGTTGTGTCCGACTCTTTGTGACCCCATGGACTACAGCACGCCAGGCCTCACTGTCCATCACCAACTCCTGGAGTTTACCCAAACTCATGTCCATTGAGTCGGTGATGTCATCCAACCATCTCTTTCTCCTCTGCCCTCAATCTTTCCCAGCATCAGGGTCTGCTCAAATGAGTCAGTTCTTTGCATCAGATGGCCAAAGTATTGGAGTTTCAGCTTCAACATCAGTCCTTTCAATGAACACCCAGGACTGATCTCCTTTAGGATGGACTGGTTGGATCTCCTTGCAGTCCAAGGGACTCTCAAGAGTCTTCTCCAACACCACAGTTCAAAAGCATCAACTCTTCGGCACTCAGCTTTCTTTATAGTCCAACTCTCACATCCAGACATGACTACTGGAAAAAGACTACCTGGGAGAAAGAGGTAAAAGAAACATCAATACTTAACAAGGAGATGGAAGAATAGTGAAGGAACAGGAGGAAGGGGCATCGAGGCTAGGGGAGAATCAAGAAAGAGGAGAGTTTTGTTAGAGCAAGGAAAAGTTTCAACAATATCGGAGTCATACACAAATGAACCTATCTATGAAACAGAAACAGAATCAGGGACATAGAGAATAGACTGGTGATTGCCAAGGGGAAGGTAGTGGGAGAGGGTTGGATTGGGAGTTTGGGGTTAACAGATGCAAACTATTAGATATAGAATGGATAAACAACAAGGTCCTACTGTATAGCACAAGGAAATATATTCAATATCCTCTGATAAACCATAATGGAAAAGAATATGAAAAAGAATATACATATATATATGTTTAAAAGAGTCACTTTGCTGTACAACAGTAATTAACATGACATTGTAATTCAATTATACTTCAATTAAAAAATGTGAGAGTCATAAATTTCTACTTTAGGAGTCATGATTTCTACTCAGAGATAGAAATATGAATACACAAAGGATGAAGGCTAAGATGACACTATAGGATTAAGCCACTAGGTCAGTTTTGAACCACTTGTTCTAGAATGGTGAACTCAGAATCCAAGATTATTTAGATCATAAATTTAGTTTCTCCCATAGCCTGATGCTGGAAAAGAGGCACTTAAGATTGTGTTGTAACTAGTGGAAAGGGTCCCTGGAAAGATTTATACTCTCGGAGATTCTGTTCTTTAACTTGTGGAGTGGTGGGCTTCCCAGATAGCTCAATGGTGAAGGTTCCACCTGCCTATGCAGGCCGTACAGAACACGTGGGTTTGATCCTTGGGTTGGAAAGATCCCCTGGAGAAGGAAATGATAACCCACTCCAGCATTCTTGCTTGGAAAATCCTGTGGACAGAGGAGCCTGGCAGGCTATAGTCCATAGGGTTGCAAAGAGTTGGACACGACTGAGTGACTGAGCTCACACACAACTTGTTGGAATGGAATAGCATCCTGCATAGAGGTACCGGCTCTGTAGTAAGGTTGTGTTTATGTGTTCATGTGTGCTCAGTCATGTCCAACTCTTTGTGACACCTTGGACTATAGCCCACCAGGCTCCTCTGTCCACAGAATTT